TCAACATGGACTATTATGGTCTGTCTCTGCTGGTCGCCTCCCTGCTAACAGGTCAGATTTAATTATAAATATGTTGATAATCGTATTCTAAACATTGTGATTGTGACTCAGTTTAATTCTATAACTAACAGGTTTCTCTGCCTTCAGGTGTCGAGTCTCAACAACTATCTCCTCTGGTGGCAGAAAACTTCCCTTCAGAGGGCGGCTCTGTTTCTCTGACCTACACATTTTCTAAAGAAGCATCTGGAAGCGATGAGTTCTACTGGTACCGCCAACATCCTGGAAAACCTCCAGAGTTCCTGCTCTACCACCTGGGATCAGGAAAAATACTGACGAAGCAAACTGCTGGACTGGAGATTGATGTGAAGGGAAGAAACATAAGTCTGCTGATCTCCTCTGCTGCAGTGACAGACTCTGCTGTGTACTACTGCGCTGTGCAGCCCACAGTGACAGGAAACACCAGAACCCTGGACAAAAACCTGCAGTACTCCACAGCAGCCACTAGAGGGCCTCACTCCCTGTTAAACCACTAAAACCTGCAGTACTCCACAGCAGCCACTAGAGGGCCTCACTGCCTGTTAAACCACTAAAACCTGCAGTACTCCACAGCAGCCACTAGAGGGCATAGAGCAAGGGTTCTTCACCTTTTTGACCTCTGGGCCCATTTATATATTAACTATCTATTGATTTACCAAACTGACTTGACTTTTGTTCAATGTAAAAATCTAATTCAAGTATGGTTTACCAAGCAAAACATTAAATATAACTGCATCATAATGTGATACTCATAATTGATTTATTTATCATCTGCACATAAAACAACTTTCTGAACAGGCCATGGAACAGATCAAACTGCAACAAGAGTAAAATTAAAGGCTCATGTTTGGCCCCTGACACCACGCGTATTAGAGCTGGAAGATTGAAGAAGGAAGAAAATATTTATGCCAAAAACCCTTAAATTTTGAGATTATGCTCAGAAAAGTTCTAGAAAAATTCTATTTGTCCCGCCTACCCCTCATTGATTCCAGCTGTGTCTCGTTTCCTCGTCTTTACTGTCAGCTAATCGTCTCTAGCTGTGTTACTCCATCTGCTACCAGTTCTGAGCTCCAAGCCTTCTGCTCACCTGTGCTGCCTGGATCATGTTTTTCTTCATTAAAACCATCATCATTATTCAACAACCTGGGCCTTACACTTCCATACTCGCCATTGCAACTGCAAATCATGACAAATTCTCAGTCTGAAGACAAACAGTTTCGACTTTTGAAACTCAGAAAATGTCCAAAGTTTCTGAAATTTACAAAAAATGATTAAATGTTTGACTTTCACATTAACATATATTTTCTAGAAAATTTATGATTTTTTTTTCCAGAAAAATGTTTGACTTTTGAAATTCATACGTTTCCTTGATTTTTTTCTAGAAAATTTCAGAGATTTTTGGTGGAAATGTACTTGTTTTTATGTCTACAATGGCATAAGACTCTAAAAACCTTGAGAAAATGTGGATATTGGTTAAATTAAATTATGTGCCCAAAAATAAATACAGTAATTTTAAAATTAAGTATTGTAGAAAATAATTTAAAATGCAAATAAAAACATAGCCTTACAATCCACAAATTAACCAGAATCTGCCCTGTGACAAACAAGAGTCACAGCAGCGATATCTCTGGTTTCTGGAAACTTTACTACACATAAAAACATGGGAATTTCTTGCAGACATCTAGGAGGCGCTGTTGACAGTAGCTCTATGATCAAGAATGGCTGCACAAGAAGGTATGAGAAGTCTTTCAGTCTGACAAACTGAACCTGGATCAGTTGAACTTACCAATGATCCCGTCTCTGTTCTCGTCCTGTAAGGGATGGACTTTAGAACTGGGACGATGCGCTCTATCTTCCTGATCAAACTGTTTCCTAAAACAGAGACAGTTTGATCACAATCCAAACTTGCACGTGGTCATGATGCGGCTCCCACCTTCCACCGGTAGCTGTGGTGTTCTACAGGATCTCGAGCTGCAGATCAGTCCTACATGTTGGTCTGAAGACTTTTCTACTTCTTAATGCACAACAGGAGGAGGAAGAGGAGGAGCTGATCTGTCCCTGAACTCTAAAGAGACTCAAACTTCCTCCTTCAGCTCAGCTCTCCAACATTAACTCTGCTCAACATGCTGTCTCTGCTCACATCTGGATTCTCTCTGCTGGTTCTGATCACTGGATCAGGTTGGTTGGAGTCTTTCAGAGAATAATCTGATCCTTGTTGTTCTTCACTTATATCACTTTTTTCTTCCTTCAGCTGTAAACTGTCAACAACTCACTGCAGGGAAGACTGAGGAGTTCAGTTCAGAGGGCAGCTCTGCTACTCTGACCTGCAGTTACACCAATAAGATATCTGCTAGTGATGATTTCTTTTGGTATCGACAAAATCCTGGAAAACCTCCAGAGTTCATCTTCTAAATCTCAGGGCTCAACAGTTCAAGATCAGCAGAGTCTCTGAAATCATCAACAAGATTCTCCACTTACCTGAGAGGAGAGAAACACCTGGATCTGCTGATCTCCTCTGCTGCAGTGACAGACTCTGCTGTGTACTACTGCGCTGTGAGGCCCACAGTGACAGGAAACACCAGAACCCTGCAAAAAAACCTGCAGTACTCCACAGCAGCCACTAGAGGGCCTCACTCCCTGTTAAACCACTAAAACCTGCAGTACTCCACAGCAGCCACTAGAGGGCCTTACTCCCTGTTAAACCACTATAACCTGCAGTACTCCACAGCAGCCACTAGAGGGCCTCACTCCCTGTTAATCCTCTGGTTGTTGAGTCTTTGGACTGAAGACAAAGACATGAAGCAGTAAAGATCAGAGACAGAGCTGCTGAGGAAGCAGAAAACTCTCTGATTGGTCGAGGTGAAGTGGCCCCGCCCACTGACCTTCAGCTCATCCAATGACATCATTTCCTCCTCCTGCTGCAGTGGAAGAACCTTGTTGATCTGCTGTGTGGCTCTAAGGACTCCAGACATGTTGCTCTCACTCGTTTTGCTTCTGTCTCTGGGTGTTGGAGATACTTCAATGCTCAGGCTCCTGAAAAAAAATCATATTAATTTAACAACAATACATTGTTATTGCACCTAATAACGTGTAAAACATCTTAGATAAAAGTAGGCAGAAAACTCTCTGATTGGTTGAGTTGAAGTGGCCCCGCCCACTGACCTCAGATAAAAGTAGGGCTGAAACGATTCCAGTACCTGGATTATTAAAATTCCTCAAGGAAAATTTACCTGCCTCGAAGGTTCGTTAATTTATATTTTTTTATTTAGCGCACCGTGTTCCGGCCGGGTTATTACTTTTGTTGCGCAGAGCTCTGACTTCCTCCTCTGAGTTGTTGAGGAAAGCTAAGTGTTAGCAGCATAACGTCAAAGCACAAGTTTTCAACTTTGGCCTGGGAGCATTTTATTGATTAATGATAATGTCCAGGTTTTTGTTGATTTTGGGGGGACCAAGATCTTTAAAATAATTGGCACAAAGCCTTTCTCCTCCTGCCTGGCGGTTCAGAGCGAACAGCGGGTTTGACAGACTGAACACTGTGGGCGAC